TTTATCCTATTTAGGATAAGGTATACAACCCAAAATATAAATCAAGATACTAATTTGTAACACGTTCTCTCTCAATTATTGTAGCAAAATATCATTTATAATTCAATTCAATAGAAAAATTACAGTTTTCATCCCCAAGTTTGTACCAAATTCACATTTGGTCTCTCATGATTTAATATAATTTAAAAACATTGGTCATTTTCGTTAATTTACCATTACGTTCGTCAGTTAAGGCAGTCATGGGAACACGCTTGATTCCGTTAGTAGTAACTGAAAATTGACGGGAATAACAAAAGTGATGAACTTTTGAAACATGAAGGGCCAAATATGTTTTTTGTGAACATTGAGGACCAAAAGTAAATTAGATGTAAACTTGAGGGGTGAAAACTATACTTTTTTGATGGTACGACTCAATTGATACTCATATGCTATACACTACACTGGATCAAACTAATATATATAATAAATTAAATATTAACACTCTTTAAGTACATAAATCTTGTAATATTTGAAATAGGAGAATTACAGTTTTCATCCATCAACTTTTCAAGATTTCACATTTGGTCCCCTATGTTCACTAAAAACACATTTGATCCTCTATGCTCACTAAAAACACATTTGGTCCCTTATGTTTCAATAATTTAACATTTGTGGTCATTTTCCTCAATTTACCGTTACTTCGTCTGTTAAGCCAGTGATCGAAACATATTTGATTCCGTTAGTACTAACTGAAAATTGACGAAAATGACTAAACGTGTTGATTTTTTGAAACATGAGTAATTAAATGTGTTTTTTATGAACATGGAAGACCAATGTGAAATCGATGCAAACTTGAGGGGTCAAAACTGTATTTTTTCCCTATTTAAAATGGAATCAAACTCTTAATAGCAAAATAGGAAGACAATAGGGTAAATCCGGACTTTTCCAAATTCAATTATTAGTGTTATTTTATTTATTTAACTTTTGGCCCCAAATTTAATCGCATTTATAGCAGCAAGAACGGAACACTAACCGTTGAGATCATCGAGGAGTGCGTAGCTCGTATCCGCCGCCCGGCGATGGAAGCAATGCGGTGAATCACGGGAAAATTACAGTTTATGTCCCTAAACTTTACCACTAAAACAATTTATGTCCTCAAATATTTCAATCTACGAAATATGTCCTCAAACTTGCCACTTTTGATCACTTTATGTTCTGCCGTTAACATCGGCAGCTAACTTCGACGGAAATAGCACGCGTGGCTCACGTGACGTCTATGTGGCCGTTAAATGTCGAGCTGTACAACACCCAGTGCCTACTTGGTCGATGAAACGTGATGTGGAGCGACACGCCATTCTCCTCCCCTATTTCTATTCTAAAATCCCTAATTCTCCATATCCCCAATGAACCCGTAAATCCAATCCCTAAAACCCCATTTCGAATCCTTCAATTGAGGTGAAATTCGAAAATAGCAGAATTATATGCAGCTTTGACAGGTGCTGCATCTTTTTTTTTTTTCCGAAATTTGTTCAGACATTTTATCGAACACCTTCTGGGCAGGTTCTGAAACTGCTGAGTTGGATAGAATTTGTGCCATCTTCACCATCTTTGTGCTCGCTTCATCGAGACCACAAGGGGCACAAGCATCAGCAGGCGAAGAATCACACGACCCCAACGTTCTAGAGACGGAGTTGGGAGAAGAATTAAAGCTTCCTCTAAAATCTTTTTCAGAACCAGAAGAGGAGTCGCGTTTACCTTCTTCTTCTCGATTGCAGGCATGTGTTTGCACGTGAATCTGCTGTTCTTTGAGAAAGGAAAAACTCTTCAAATGTGAGAATGTTTTGATTTTTTATGGGTTTATGACTTCGATTTTAGTATGGGTTCGAGCAAGGAGGCAGATTGGATTGAAATTTTGGGAATGGGAATGAAACGTGATTTGGGAGAGTGAGTTAGAGGAAATTAGTATATTCTTGTTCCACGTCAACATTTAATATTCAATATACTATTCCACATCACATTTAACGGCCACATAGACGTCACGTGAGCCACGCGTGCTATTTCCGTCGAAGTTAGCTGCTGATGTTAACGGCAGAACATAAAGTGATCAGAAGTGGCAAGTTTGAGGACATATTTCATGGATTGAAATGTTTGAGAACATAAATCATTTTAATGATAAAGTTTAGGGACATAGACTGTAATTTTCCCCGGTGAATCACAATACTGTCACCCAAACCACCGAATCAGATGCCCTTTCTTATTTCATTCTCTCTTCTCCTTCAATTCTGAATAAATCATTATTTTCAACAATTAAAGAGTCAAAATATAATACGATACGCAACAAGTAAGATATATCACATTTAAGTGATCAACAAGCAATAAGGAATATCTTATTCTCAGTGTGCATTTTGTTTTTCCAAGAAATAATAGTGAAGAAATAGAGATCCTCACCTAGAGTCCAATGCAAGTGCTATAAGTTATCTTTACGCTCAAGCAACTCTCATGTCTTGAGTGAGAGCTTTACTATACTCAATACCTATAAAAATATTTATCACTTAATAAGTTTCCAAATACTTAATAAATGAATTCATATACATACGACATTTCCTAGTTTTCTTTATGTCCTTAAGGCCGAAAAACTTATTAATTCTAATTTAATTTAATTCCATAACCCAACACCTAAGCTCAACACATAATTATTTCATTTACCGAACCGGGCCACAAACCCATAGAATAAACTCATTTTATTAGACGAGTTTCTCAACCTAATAATAAAACTAATATGCTGCCACAGTTCATTTGAAAACTCATAACAGGTTCCACGTTTATCCAAATTGATCACATGATACCTCAAATGAAAGCTAGCAGAAAATCCTACGAGTTCATAGAGGGCTTTAGTCCCAAATTCTAAACCAAAAATAGCAGAAACAGTCTCAAACCAGCATTACAGAACTGCCAGAATTTTGGAAATATTATTTCTGGTACAGCTTATTTGAAAAACCATAACAAACTGCACGTATATCGAAACAGACCAAATGATATACCAAATTAAAGCTAACAACAAAATCTACAAGTTCACTGAAGACACCACTTTCAAATTATGAGTGAAACATAGCTAAACCAGCCCAAGAAAATGATAACAGAAACTGCCAGGATTTGACAAAAAATCATTTTGGCAGTATGTTTTGAAATTTCATAATAATTCGAAATATTATCCAAATTTGACAAGTCACATATACCAAATCGAATATAAAGTCTTCATCTACAACTGAAGAGAAGACACTGACCTCAAATTATGACTCGAATGCATAGGAAACAGTCTCGAAATATAAGTCATATGAACTGCCAGAATTTGCAGATGGAACTACCCTGTTTCCCCTCTTCAAACAAACCTTAAAACTCGATCAAACCAGGCAAGATTCACATTACCCTTAAACTTCCCCATACTGTCTACGATTTATAAGAAGGAACTGCTTTAAAATTCAAATCCCAAAACCCCCAAAATCTGCCCCGAAAACAGGATCGGCATAAGGTTTATTAATTGCAGAAATTTCAGAAATCATTGTCACAACTGTCGGATAAAAATCAACTTTGTACAGAGGTATAAATTTGGGGAAAAATCGATATTCCTATATTATTTAGTCTGTTCTATAACTTCCCAGGAGAAATAAATCCGAAATACGAAGCCTAAGTACCTCAAATTGACTCTTAAAACTTTAGCGGCAGGCTGGACTTCTCGTTGAACTCCGGCGACCACCACCTGAGACAACAGCCGGAAACCACCACCAAATTGAAGCTTACGTCGACGGATTTCCAATGATATATCCTGATCGCTGAAACCCGCCAGAAAGATCGTCAAGTCAACATCTTTCCCTGTGTTGGATGAACCCTAGCTTATCTCCAATATTCTTGATTTCTCTCTCAAATTATTCCTTCGATTAATCTCTTGATTTTTCTTTGAATTCAATGTGATTTGTGGATGATGATCCTATTGACGAGAAGGGGTAATTTATAGGAAGAAGTGAAGTTGGAAGACGCTATTAATCGGATTAAGATGACGAAGATAAACTCTGACTCACTCATTTCTCAGTTGTCCGCCAATTTCATAAACTTGATTGCCAAGTTTTCAGTTATAGTATTATTATTTATGCTTATGCCCCAATATTATCTCATAATAACGCATCAGCCCCAAATCTCATTATGAAGTACAATAAACTCTTAAAGAAATCTTAGCATAAATTACGGGCTGTTACAATATGCTTGTTTCCATCTAATAATTTTTCACAAACCTTTGTTCTCTTCCTTTCAGTTTCAAGTTGTGATTGAGTTCTACTTTGATTTGAACTCTTTGACAACCAATATATAATTGGTTTGACTTTGCAGATCAATCTTTGTGCTTATTAAGAACCTTTATTGTCATATTTTACAATATAATTAGGGTTTCATTTTAACCCTAATTACAGAGGAACAATTTTAGCAATTATGCATACGTATGAGTTATGACAAAGGGGTAGCGGATATAATGTATGCAGTAAATAAACTCTCAAGGTAATAATGAGAAAGACGCTCCCACAAAGCTGCCATAATTAATCATGAAAATATGTACAAGAAAATAATATAATATGAAAAAAAAAACAAGGAAAATAATTTGAACAAAATTCGTACAAATACGAAATGGTATGTAATCCATGACATATATTTGGTTACAAAAGCAAACCACAACACACACACACACACACACATATATATATATATATATATATATATATATATATATATATATATTCACTATTAATCAGAAGCACAATATTGCATGATACACGCGTACGCTTGTATGAAATGCAATATTAATAATCAACAAGCACTCAAATCACGTAAGAATTATAAAACGCAGCGGTTTTCCAACCCCATCGATCAGCAGTGTACGTAAAGAAGGGGAGCAGCTGCAAGAAAACATTATTAACGATCGAGAGAACTGTTTTGCAAATACAAATTAAGCCCATATTGCATGCATGCATGTGTTATTACAAAATAGCACATGAGCCTTCAGCTTCCTCGGTAGCAGCCTCCAACTTAAGTCTATCTAATTGCTTTTCCATGTCATGTATTTCTTTTTGCGCTTTCAACTGAGCCTCTAGTGTGGCTGTGTGTGCTTCTGCCTTGGCTTGAGCAACTTTCGTATTTAGCAGTTCCCGTATAAGCTTTTCATTTGCGATGCGGTTTCTTTCTTGCTCCGCTGCCATGTTTTGTTTTACCTCTCCAAGGGTCTCTTTGAACTTTGCCTCAATCTGTATCAAACAATAATATATATATATATATCAATCTTGCCACAAATTTCACATATGATGATTCAATATTGGCTAGACCTAGGAGCGGAAATCGGAACGAGATTTTCGAATATAGCTATATATAGGTTTCTTTAACCATTATTAAAGTAAATTAAATCACAATATAGCTAGGTGTATAGACGCAAACATATTAATTATGACTTGAATATAACATAATTAAACTCTATTTGTGCGTACCGACGCGATCATTATCTTTTGCTGTTCTTCATATGCCTTTTTCATCTCCTCCATCTGTTCAGCCGATGCATTTTTTGAGCCTTCCTTCCACTGGTTTTCTATGTCCTGATGATTGAGTTTAGGCATCGTAAAAATTATGCAAATACGCACACACACACACATATATATATATATATATATATATATATATATATATATTGAAATTATTAGCAGCATGTACTCACCTGCATTTTGATAAATAGTGGATCAGTGTAGGGTATTCCGCCATTGTTTTTCACAACATCATTTACTAGAGAAAGAAATTGATTCCGTTGTTTAGATTTCTCGGCTTCTATTTTTGTTCTGTTGTTGAAGAGTATTTGTCGGTTCCCACATTGTGTCAGGGTATCCTGTATGTCAATAAATCATATGTTCACACATAAATGTAACAAATAAAAGATTTAAACATACGTCCCTATTTTTGCCCCATGCATGGGGAAACTGTAGCTCACGAAAACCAAACACCTAGGTAGCTAAACGATCAGAGTATTTGCTTCAAATTAAATTCTCAAAATAGCCCGGAAGAAAATGAATAATATATATGGTCAGATAAATAAATAAATAAATGTTAAGAGACACATATATATATAATTAAGAGGAAGAGAAGAATTAATGAGATATTTAATTCGTGCCTGCAAGGGTTTGGGGCAATCTGTACCGCCCAAGTAATCATCTAGGGTTTGATCATCAGCTTCTAGTTCATCACCACCAGTGAAAATTACAATCAGATATCCAAGAATTTTGGGGCCGAAAAAAGAACTGAGTGCTTGCACAGCAGCTTCTTCTTCTTTTGAAAATCGACCCCGGATTGACAGGACGAGAACAATAGCATGGAGACCATCATTTGCCAAATTGATGCATTTGGCAATTTCATTTCCAAGAAACTCAGTATTACCATGAAAATCAAATAACCCTAGCATTTCAATCAAGTTCATCAAGTCAGAACACATGCATTAATCCTCCTTTTATCTCATTTAACAGATTAACTTTTGATTAGGATGGTTATTACACTGGGAAATAAATAAATACGCATGCATGAATATAGAGAGAGTTAAACATAAATTAGTAATAATTAACATGTATACCGGGAGTATCAATCACATTAATAATACTGCCATCCTCTAGTGGAGTTGACTGCTGCTCAGTCTTGGTAGTAACACCGCCGGCACAAAACTTTGACTCGAATGCTTTTCTTCCAAGTATAGAATTGCAGGTTGCACTTTTCCCGTGACCTGTTCGTCCAACCAAAACTACTGTTTTTGGCTTCCCTTCCATATTACCTGAACTCAAGTTATCTGCAGAAGACGACGCTGCAGACAAGATCGTGCATACGCACGTTAACTTAAACATTAATTCCATATATATATATATATAACTCTTATAAAATGCGCTGTTATAAAATACAAATAATAAAAACTTTCCATCATAATAATTACGACCACCCTCTCATCTACGAGACTTCCTCCTACATGTCCATTGTTATCGAAATGTGCAGTTTCGAATGCACCATGCACATTAATCTGATACATACAAGTCAAGAGACACATCTTATGATCATCTGGTTTTAAAATGTGTTGCTCGAATGAGGTGAAACGGGTGCAAACTGTAGAATATTACACATAATCTAGAAGATTCCACTAAATTTGATACCACAAGGATAGACGTGTAAGAAGATTGATAGTTGAGGAGATAGTTGTAATTATCCAAACGTAAGGGAGTTTTTTGACTCTATCTCAGGAGAGTGGCCGTACAGTTTACCCCTAAACTATTTATAGGGATCGGATTCTAATTTCACACATACACAAAAGGCAGGAATCCAAAGCTTTTGATCACGGTAGTCTTAGTTAAAAAATGAGCAGAACATCTATTTGCACCGAGTCGGTTATTCGCCAACCGACAACAAATAAATAAATGTAAAATGAAAATAATAAACAAATAAATAAATAACACCTGCTAAAGGTAAGATTTCAAAGGCAGTGCACGAGTCTTCAACGTGGATGATCTATGGATATAGTTACTGCATACAAATTAAAAGTACCATATATCAGAAGTATACATATATAATACATACACAAACATGTGCAAAAAGGTATGCATGAAGCGCAACGCGATCGAAGAACTCAAACCACAACACGGTTAAAATTTTCAGGCGGCTTTAATTTGTGTGTGAGATGTGAAACTGCCATACATTAATATTGGATTGTTATGAAATGAATGAAAGAAAAATGGGAAATTCTTACATAGAAAATTAACAAACCCAAAGCATGAGGAGAAAAATGGAGATGTATGTCAGCTGTTTGTATTGCAAGCTAAGTATATATAAATTGATTGGAATTTTAATATTTCGCTTTTTTTCTTCACAAAAAGAAATATTCAATTGACTTTATCTCTAATCGCTCTTTTTTTCTTTTTCTTTTTCATGATTCGCTGATCGATCATGAAATGTCGTGCTAGCTAGCTAATACACTTGTGGGTTTTGTTAGAATTATTTCGTGCAAATTAACAATTATGTAAAATAGACATGGTCCTAATTAGTGTTTTCAATAATAATTATTGGTACTCAATCAACACAATATTTCATTCTTTAATTAGAAAGATCACTCGGGACAGTGTTTGTATTGATCAACCTTATTATAATAGAAGTCGTCGGCTTTCCCAACTTGATGAAACTAAAGAAATGAAAATGACAGAGCAAACAACTATACAAAACATACTTTATTTTTTAAAAGAAGGCCAAATCTCAATAATGCTTATTCAATTTGTTGAGTGCAAACCATGTTCCAGATCGGTTTACCATGTCAAATGTCTTTTGGGGAAAATCAAGAGCAAATTCAATCGGGTCTGGCCTAAATTCTGAAAAATGAAAAATTCAATTGACTTTATCTCTAATCGAATTACAAAGATCACTTGGACAGTGTTTGTATTAGTCATTCTTTTTTATGTATAAAAGTCGTCGGTTTTCACAACTTGATGAAGCAAGAAATAAAAATGACAAAGCAAATTGACAACTTTTATACATAAAAATAAAATAAAATTTTTTTGACTAATACAAACACTGTCCACTGTGATCTTTCTAATTCGATTAGAGATAAAGGCAATTGAATTTTTTTTTTTTTCCGGAGGGTAAAAGAAACCGAAAAATTAAAAAGGCCACAAGTGTATTAGCTAGCTAGCACGA